CGACTTCTGAAGGTAAGGAGCTCCTTAGCGAGCGCCCCGTGCCCTCGGGTGCCCCTCGTCCTTTCGCCTTTCGCTTCTTATACCTTGCACCCGCGGCAAAATTTGCAATCCGAGATACTATGTGCGAGAACCAAGAAGGAGCCAGTCTTAAGTCGCGACTCGGGTACAAAGGCTCGTGTTGGGTCTTTGAATACTTCATCCAGCGGAGTAATGAAGGCGGCAGAAATTTCGTTCGATGTGTGCGCGACAATCCTGCTGCTACCGCATTTTTACCGACAGAAACGTTATTTTTTCCTGCCGAGGGAAAAAAAGAATTAGTTGCATGCTAACGGCAATATCATGTAAAAACTGTAAAAAATCTAAAATAAAATCATACATTATAAATTATTCTAATGGATATAATATTACACAAAAAAACTCTTAAATCGTATGATATTAAGAATATTTTTATAGATATTTCATCAATATCCGTTTATTTAACCGTTTGAATGTTTTCTCTTATTCTCATCTGATGTTACCGACAGTTACGCATTGAAATTGTAATTAAATTTTGATATCATGCTATATTGATGTATACCATATTTCGATTCGTCATGATCTTACAAATGTAGGACGGGCGAAAATCACGCAAAAGATTGCGGTAAAAATGAAAAAGCGCGCGCGTCATTTTCAACTGCATAAAATATCGGGCGATCTTTATATAACTCCGGAAAGTTTAATTTAGTTAGAACATAAAGGTTTATCGTTTACGTAAAACAATATGTCTGCAATAAATTGTTCGTTAACCGGCGATTCTGGAAAATGCATCGTGCCGATCTATCAAAAGTCCCAGCATCGTTACGCGGCGATGTTAACAATTTACACACGGTTAGTGCATTCACATCCTTTTGTCACCGAACGCGCAGCGGTGTTTTACAGCGGAGCATGCCATTTCCGGGCGAAACCGCCGCGATATCCGTGCACCGTGTGAAAAATTCAAATCGGCGCGTCGATTGTGCATCAATTATTAGGCGAGTAACAAAAACCTCAGGTCTCGGTGCTCTGCGGCTTTGTAAACAAGAAATTGCTTCTCCCGGAGTCCGCGGAAATCCCTTGACGCCCCCTCGGCGCCAACCGCCAAACGCTCCCGCCGGCAAGCCTCCGTGTCGCGGGGGATTGAAGTTGTTTCTCCAATTGCCGTTAAAGGCCCGCCGTTACCTGGCAGCGTCTTTAACGGCAACGACTTTGCGCCATTCGATCTTCGCGTTTCTCGCGCGAGCCCGCCTCGAAACGACTCGCGTGTATCCTTACCGAGTTCAAAACGAAACCACGTAACGTTTCGATTCTCAAGTCTCTTTCTCAAGAACGGGCTACGGAATTGAACGGGCTGAGAGACGTTGCGGTCGCGAAGGAGATATGCACACTGTCGACCCACATTCGCCCCCATTCTCGTATACAATCGATTCTTCTTTCGACGCCGCGCGCGGCCGTTTTCTTCCCTCCTTTGGACGCCGGAGAAAACCGAGCGAGATTTATCGGCGGCGTCGCTTTAATGCGGCGGACAGAACCGTCTTCGAGCTAGTGAAAATGGTTTAGCTGATAATGTAAAAATCAATATTGTTGCGAACTATTAATTATATAAATACATTGAGTGGATTTTAAACATTAAATATTGAATGTTGGAGGCGTACATTAGGAAAGAGCGGGAAAGGAGAAGAAGTGGGAGATCAGTTTTCAATACAATGTTATTTTCTATTAACTTGAAGAGAAGAATTTTTATTTTTTGAAACAAAAAAACTACACCAATTTACTCATCTTTTTCATCAATAGTAACGGTTTAAAAAATTGCAATTCTTTAAACTAACTTTGCTGCATCCAAATTTTTATCTGCTTTTCTTTCCTAAATATATTGCGTACAATAGAAATGAATAAATATTTACTGTCGTAGAATTTTTGCGATTAGTGATATTCATATATTTAAATATTTAAACATATTACTACATTGAAAAAAAAAAAACTATTGGAATACGCAAGACAGATATTAGTTTGCAAACATTTGTTCTTCCCAGAATAACACTGGTCTTTCTAATTTCGGGTCAATTAATAATCAATTACACGAGGGTAACTTTGAAAGCCCAGCCAAGAGCTCGCCGTTCGCAAGCGGCCCTGCGAAGATGCAGGAGTTCCCGAATTGCTCTCCACGAGGCCGGCGTTACGCCGCATTATTTACGACAATGCAGGCCGCGTGACCAAAATTCCATCAGTTACCCGAGAAACAAGTCCGTGGCGCGGAGGCGGCCATTCTCGCAGCCATAATTTTCGATTCTCGTCGTTCAGCGGCGAGCGGCGACAATGGGCATTTAAAGTCGATCGCAGGAGAGGGGAAAGAAACGCCCGAGCGGCAAGGACGAACCGTAAGAGGAACGACGCTCACGTAGCAGCTACCTTGCGATCTCATGCGAACTTATACCGCGGCATCGACGACGCCGCGGGCGATATAGGAAATGCACGAGCGCGACGGTGAGCCCGGCCGACGAGGGTGAGGCGTTTGATTCCGAGCTGCCGAGTTTACGAGCCGACCGTGACGTAGTCGCGCAAACTGCCGATGCTCTGCAGCACCGCAGACGCGCACGTATGCACGCGCGGCGAGCTCCCCGCGTATACGCTGTCGCTCTCGCGAGAGAAGTGCGCATACGTGCGACCGAAGAGACGGCGGCACGACGACGGAACCCTTTTACAAGTGATACACGCGCACACATTCGACAGCCGCGTGGGGTAGCACACGCCCGCGATTATAACGTCACATACCGGTTATAAGGTATACAAGCCGACGCCCGGAGGCTGGCTGCTAGGGTAGCGAAACGGAGGTGGAGGCGCGCGTCGGGCTGGCGAGGACGGCGAGGTGGCGGCGGCGGAGGAAAGAGATGCTAGAGAAGGCGGCGGAGGAGGTGGAGGTTGGAGGACGACTGGCGGAGGCGGAGGTCGACTCGCAAACGTGGAGGGAGGACGGAATGTTCGGATTATCACGAGAACCCCGTGGAATCCGTGGCACCGCGGGGACGGAAAACGGGGCCGGCAGATAAGAACCATAGCCGGTGTGTCACGTACCGCTTTGAGTGTGATGGTCGTCGTTCTCCACCCATCCTCCTCTCGCTCTGCCGCCCCCCGCACTACCGCGCCCCTGCGCCCGCTCCCTTACCCGTTTCCAGCAACTCGCTTGTCTCGATCTCCCGGGTTTTCTCTCCTTCCTCTCGCTCTCACGCGCCGAATCTCTCTCGCGCGCGCAATATACAAACTCCATCGTCGGCGACCTGATCCACGCGAACTTCGAGCGCGCCGTTAAGTATCCGCCCTCGCGTGAGAGTTCAATTCTCGCCACGCGGCGCTTAACCCTTTCCCGGAGACGATGCGCTTCCGAGATGTTACTCTCACACACAAATGAGGTTGCGGTATTCTGAGGATTTTATCTGGTATTTTTCGAAATTTTAACTGTATTTTTCAAAATCCGATCTTACTTATCACACGATTATCGAGAACGTTCGACTTGATGCGCGAAATATCATCACTCCTGCGAAGGGTCATTCCAGACGCTTTTTGTTCCTACGAATGCCGGGAACTTCCACTCCGTCCAGACGTCCACTCCGCGAAGAATCTGCAGCCTTCGTTTCCACTCTTTCATTCGAAAATTTTGCGCTATTCCTCTTGAAATTCCGAGCTAAATCAACGACGCGGAAATCGTTTCTTTGGATTGCACGGCTTAGCGAGTGGTAAGGTCCCCGCAGAATTGTTGAAGAAAATCGCGCGTTGTGTCTCGAAATGTACCATTGTTTGCGATCAGTTTCTATATCTGGAGAGCATTTACACCAAAAGTTTCTGTTAAGTACCCATCTGCCCAATCGTTCCCCGCAAAGTTCTTTTCATGAGCTGTCGCAGCACATGTCGCATCGTCCTTTTCCACTCAGAACCATCGAAGACATCCTAATACTATTTCACGGATCGTTCTCTGTGCTAAATATTCATTGATATTCAAATTTGATCAAATTGAACGATAAGCCAGTTCAGCTCCGGTTAATTATCTGTCAATAAGAAACTCCGCGTAAAAAACTGGTGGCTATATATCGAGAACATTTTTTTTTTTTTTTTTTTTGCGCAACTGCAGATACTGGCAATGTCCGAAGTTGTAAAAGATGAAAACGAGATTTTCTTTCGGGATGGATGGCGTCAGAAACTGGGTTAAAAAGCCGCGACCTCGTGACTAGAACACCCGCCGTCGTAACTCAGCTTCGTTAACTCAGGACATCGTGGAAGGAGCGAGGAAGCGCGCAAGGGTTATGGCACTCGAGATAGCAAGGCAAAGCGTAGGTGGAACGGGGAAAGCAATCAGAACTTGGGCCATTGCTAGATATTACGTAGACGTGAGAGATGTCTCCTCAATCATATTAATTGCCGAGATAACCGCTGCTTCGACGGCGCCCACCGCTCTTAGGCCCCTACCCTCGCCCCTCTCTTTCCTACTCACGTCTCGAAACATACACGCGATTTTCTCATATGTACTCTCACGCCGCGTAATACAAATGTATTTAATTAAAAACCTCACGCAGCGCTGGGAAATTTTTATCGCGATAATTTAGATTCAAAATTGCATCTTCTGAGAGCAGTTATCAGAGAGTGAGACGCAGAGAATCTGTATTATCTCTTTATGTTATTTTAGCACGGGATTAGGAGAGAACTGTTGACAAACTAATGTCGTTACTTTTGTATTTTTATATCTTTGGTGTAGTAATTCAGAATTTATTTTAATTTTTTTTAATTCTCAAGTCAAATAATATTAACTATCGCTTAGCATACTTGTCGTGCGGATATCATAAGCATTGCTTTGCATAAACAGCAATGAAAGATATTTTTAAACAGGAAACTTGTAGGAATACAAGATATAAGAAAAGAAATGCATGTAAATGTAATATATCTTGTAGAAATACGCAAAGATGAATTTTAAAGCAGATAATGATTTAAAATTTCAGATTGCAACCGGAAGTTTCGGTATAACCTTGTCAGGAAGAATCGGAGAAGAATAAATCTCCCAGCAGCGGGTTTTCTCGAGGGGGAAAAAATAGCTTCGCCAAGTAACGAGGCGTTCTTCAATATTCAAAGTTTTCGTGCCTGAAGAGGAATCACTGACGTATGCAACAGGTATTGCTTTCCTCTTTTGTGCTCCGATAACGACTGCTGACTCTTCACGGTAAGTCTGAGTGCCATCATCGCGAAGGATTCGCGATCTCGCCAGTTTCACTCTACGTTTCACCCTCCTTTTCAAATTTCGCGGCGCCTCAGCGCAAACTTCCTTCTTTCGCAGCGACAAAATGATGAGCATCATCTCCATATTTCCGTGAAGGGTCGGTCATTCGTAAGAAAAACAAAAGTAAAGATGATAGATTTTTAAATGTTATCTTTTTTTAATCGCAGAAAAATTAAAAAATTTCTTGATAGTCCTAAAATTCTTTTTAGCGCTGTTTTAATTAAAAAAATTTCTTATCAAATCTATTAGCTCATATATATGTGATAAATACATATATATATATTTATTCATTACATTGCATACATTCTAAAATATTAAGTTAAACCGGCCGCACATTTTTAATTAGTTTCGTACCTTCGTACCTAAACTACCGAGCTCCTATCTCATAAACGACGATAGTAAATTTCAACGATTAGCATACACGCTGCGGAAGTGTACGCTCCTTCGCGTACTTACGGTCGTTCGTAGCATGTAAATGCTGCTACGTGGCTGGCAGACAGCGACTCAGCGTATATAAAACAAACCAACCGACTCTTCTCAGGACAGACGAGTTTGCCCTGAGCAGCCCTGATTCAGCTCGACGTGGCGTAGCCTTATGTCAACAGATACCCCGGTTCCGCTAATCACTCACGAAAGTAAATGCACGCTCGAAAAGACTCGCTTTTCCGGATTCTATGATACGTGACGTTAAGTATCATTGTCTCGAATGACACGGCAATACGTCTTCACTAATGTGTGAATTACAAGCGTGAGGTTATGCCTCCGTTTAAATATCGCGTGCTCGAATATCAGCTTACACGCAACATTTGCGATTCTATTTCTCGCTTTTTTCTTAGCAAGAATTATATATTTTGTATCATACATGTAAAATGGCATTAGGATGAAACAATCTATAAATTATAGCGCGTGAACTATGACGAATAGAATATATAGGATATAAATATGTAATAAATAATTTCTATTTTCTTAAATTTATTATTACACAAAACAAGTATCATTAGAGACATATCTCCATTGTGTGGCGTGAAATTAATTTTTTTTTGCAAGAAAAAGAAAGCAGTCAAAAATTGGCGCAAAAATCTAATTAAACCGATGGTTATTGGTTTTGCAACTCTCTCCGTGTGAAAATGATGAAGCCAAACACAAAACTAATCTGGCTTTGAATTTGTTAACACAGACAACATCGTTAATTCTTTACCGCCTACGTCATATATTTTCCGCGCCAAAAAAACAAAAAAGAACGGAAGTCCCTTGTCCGACGTTATCCGCGAACAGTACGGGCATAGATATCGACCGAACCCATCGTTCCCCATAAAATACAAGATCGAAATCACGCCGCGCACTCGGGAAGGTGGTGGTACTGCAGTAATGCCGGAAAATATCCGCGTTTTATTAGGTCGATCGGCCGGGGATAATCGGCGACAATCAAGTTTCACGGCGGTGATTGGCCGCGCATAGTCCGATGCCAAATGCAGCTGCATATGCATGACGCAATCTCATATCCACATCCGCACCCCCGGTGTGGTAGAGGCAGCACATGGCGAGGTGACGCGCGAGCGGTAGAAAAGGGATGGGCAGGCGGACGGGGGGGGGTGTTGCATCGGGCACGCAACGGCAGGAGGGTGTGTGGGGGGAGGAGGGGGGGAGGGTGGCTTCGATTCCCACCGCGGTGTGTCATTACTCGTCATTATCCACCTATCAAATCGCTCAGCAATAACTATCTGACCGTTGCTGTTACACCCTCCCGGCCCCTCCGCGCCACTGCACTCTTCTCCCTCGCTCCCTTTCATCCCTGCCACCCTCTTCCTCCCCCCCGCAACCGTGAGCCTGGCTTACCAGCAATCAAAGCGTCTCCATTTCTGAACCACTACTGGATGACTGCGTTGGCAACCACTGTTCAAGGCTGATCATCGAAATTCCATATCCACTGATCCGCTCGAACGAAAATGTGGCACGATACTAATGCCTGATTAATTTCTGTCGGATTAATAATGTGCGACCGTCCGTTTGGCCCCGTTGATTTTACCGGCGTACGTTTAATAACTCCACGCGCTCTTCTTGTCCCGGCACTAGTTTGCGGTTTAAGTCATTAATGCGCGGGCGCTTCTTTCCGGCGATGTCTGTTATTCGTAGGTAAAATTGGAGGAACTTTCTATTTTTATGCTCAAACGTTGCTCAGTCATCCATAAATACTTTTCTATATGCTGTTAAAATTGGATATTGGAAATTGAATATATATTTAGCTGTTAACATTCAGATATTATTAAACTAAACGCTTAAAAATTATTTTTGTATTTAGTTGTGATGTTGAAAGTGTTACGGATGATCTCGGTAAGCTACATTTTTAATCAATATCATCCAGAATTAAACTTACGAGAAATAGAGATATTGATTTCTTTTGTTTTCTCTATTCCCGATTTATTTACTAATAGGGAAGCTGGTATAAAATTTGAAAAGATTTTTCAAAATAAGATCATGCGGAAGCAGTCGTTTTTCCATTCTTGTGTTCGAGGTTCAGTAAATTCCGCTTCGCGCCGTTTTATATATTTCGTAAGTACATAAATTAACGGCTGTGTGCGGCCGGTACGTTTCCACGAACCGGTGGAGGTGCGGAAAATTAATACCGGTAGCGCGGTAACTGTGCAGCCGCACTTGAAAACGAACTGAAACAGCCGTAAAAACGTCTCGATGAACGTTTCCCGGTCTCCTGAAAAAAGTGGTTCGCGACGACACGCTAGTACCTTTTTTTTTGCGATGTTAGCTGAAACTCGAGGAAGTCCTAACACGTATTTTGTCGCCATTTACACCGGCAATGAGATTTGCAGTCACATGCCGTAATGAAGATTGGTTTTACAAGAATTATAGTTCAATATATATTTAAAAAATTGTAATTAATTTTACGTGAACAAATCTAATTAATTCGTTATAATTTTCGATGACTGAAGAATAATGTGAATGACAGTCTTTTGAACTGTGTTATTACATTTTTTTATCCTGTAATCATTCTAATCTTTTTTAATCAGGAACTATTGTCTGTTATTTATATTGTATTATGTTAAAGTTTAGATATTCTCCATTTTTTGTTATTTAAATAATCTAAAGATATTTCTTAGCTAAATATTAAAAGTATTATTCTTGCATCTATTTCTTTATTTCACGATTTTAACTTAGATTACAACTTATAAAAATCACATCAGCAAGCTACTCCTCGTTGCTTTGCTTTGCTTCGCCAACAATCGTCAATTGATCGTGAAATTAAAGCGAATCGTAAATTCGGTATCATCGGTAGACTTCTTAGAAATGCGCAAGTAAGATCGCGAAAGAGAGTAAAGGCCGAGGTTTCCGGATGTAGGTGCACGCCCGGATGTTATTGGCAGGAGAGTGGAGCCATTAGTCGCAATGATGGATGCCTGACAGGAACGCCAGCGTCCTACCCTAGCCGGCAGTTATAGTAAGTAATGGCTTCACTCTGTGCCCTGAGAAAGCCTCCGCCGCCGTACCACCGCCCCCTCGTGCCGTCTCCCTCCCCCCGGCTCACCACCCAGTAATAACAACAAATCTTGCCTATATTAATTCCCTGACGGACATAACTCTCGGTATATGGACGGTAACTCGGGAAAAATTGCGCGATGAAAACGTCGCCCCGACGAAATACGGGGTCTCGTATTACGCACGCACTTAGAACAACCAGTCACCCTGCCGCGCGCATGCCACCCCCCCGCGCACACCCTCCCGCCACGGGGAAAATGTCGCTGCGAAACCCGCCGGTAGACATTAACCTTCCGGTGCTTGCGAGCGGAAGATTGTGTCATTTAACGTATTTGAAGTGCAATTATATCATTTCGCAATTTGCAACGAAACAATTTAATTTTCATTTTTATTTAATTTGAATTCTAATTTAATTTCAATTTTGTTCTACTTTATAAACATTTTTGAAGAGTTACTTGTTCGTTTGCTTTGTTCTAAACATAAAACGTGTTCAGCAAATAGTAAATTTGTAATAAAATCGCGAAGAATGAAATTTTTAATGGACGTTGATGAGGCGTCATATTTCTGCTGCAAGCTATAGACGAATTATGTAACTTCGAATATTTCAAGATAACTGATATCCTTCCCTTTGCTTTTCACTTATTGTTAGATAATACTTTTGCCTCAAATTGCTTTATTCTCATCTGTCGCCCCTTTTATTATCATGGACATATATGAGCTTAGGGTCGAACCCATGACAGCATTCTATTCTCTTGGATTTCCCCTCATATTTTAAACATATAATAGTTTTACTGTACTATAATGCGGGACCGGTTTTTTGCTTTTCCTATAAGACTAGATTTTATAAATCGATCGCTGAAATAATTTTTCGGTATGTTAAAAAAAGTTTTAAATAACTTATACATTAGAAATCCTGTAATTATAGTGTTGTTATTATTGTATGAATAATGTCACATATCAAAATGACACTTTCACAATCTGTGATAAACAATAATTAATTTTCGATAACTAAATATGTGTCGGCAAACGTTATTTATTAATCAGGGTTCTAACAGTCGCACGATTAGAGCTACGAAAACGATGCGAGCTGCCTGATACGAATGTCTCTCTCGTGCCAAACGCTTCTTCGACGCTCGCAGTTTCGGATTGTCACACAGCTATTCCGCGCCCAATTTTCTCACCGCCTAATCGCGCGTTCTCCAGCTGCGTGCTCGACACCCGGACGGTTTAGGAAGCGCGACCAATTATTGTTAGGATAATCTGCCGCGAGCCTGCTGGGACTGTTTAAATTAGAGGGTGGAGGCGCCGTTGCAAACATCATTGCGCGCATAGGCCATGCCGGACTGCCTAACCGATGAAGTGGGAGGGCGACAGGGGCAC